GATTATGTTAATATACATATAGTAAACATTTAATTATGTTAATATACATGTAGTAAACATTTGATTATGTTAATATACATATAGTAAACATTTGATTATGTTAATATATATATGGTAAATATTTGATTATGTTAATATACATATAGTAAACATTTTATTATTTTAATATTTTAGAAAATGTTAAAGTTTTTGCTTTTACGAAAAAAATTCAGCAGAATATCTTTAAATGTAAAAACAAAAACTCAATTAAGAACATACACAATCAAACAAATAAGAAAGCAACAATAAAGTTTTCCCTTTTGCTATTCTGTTTCTCTTTCATTTCTTATGTTAGGTTGAACTTGATTTAAATCAAGTTTTAAAATTTTGTCGCTTTACTGCTCGTATGACTAAAATAATACAAAATTTTGACTAATTTCTCCTTTTATCTGTTTATTTTGTTAAACTTATTCTTTAAACGAGCGTGTGGTTTTCTTTCAAAGCAAATGTCATAAACAACGAAATGTTTGATTTCACAACATCTTGCTTTCGACGTCGTAACAATAATAGTGACGTAACACTTTATTTTTCCCGTACCTTAACTTAATGAAGATTATTTATACTGTAACTTTAACTAAAATATAAAACAGCAAAATTCCATTAAATTAACAATACAGGAGTATTCTGGTTAACTTACCTGCGATAACCCGAGATGAACTGAGGCGGTTTCAGAAACGTACATAATCTTTCCATCAGGAGCTACAACGAACACAAATCCGTCTAGTGTCTGTAAATAATACGTACACGTAGAGTTGTTAATTTTCACACAAGAGCTACACGTAGGATAGTAAACGCGCTTTCTCAGGTCCGATTTCAACTACGTGATCTTAGTTAAACATGATTTTATACCAAGGAATAAATTAATTTTCTCTAGTACAGTTGACAGATGTGCTGTTTACGAGCAAGTTATTTTAACTTTATGTCGCACAGTCGAAAAACGAACAAGATATAGGGTTAACTCATTAGATTGTTTACATTTAGGTTACTGATTTGATGATTACGATTGAAAATATCTTTAACAGCAACTGATGATTCGTAGTCTAATCATTTGTATACTTTATTTGTGTGTGAGTGTATTGATTTATGACGTTAAAGTATGTTGGTAAGCGGAAAAATATGGAGTGTTTCCAGATGAAGTATGGTACTTGGTATGTGAAAGTATGTTGGTAAGCGGACAAACATGGAGTGTTTCCAGATAAAGTATGGTACTTGGTATGTGAAAGTATGTTGGTAAGCAGACAAATATGGAGTGTTTCCAGATGAAGTATGGTACTTGGTATGTGAAAGTATGTTGGTAAGCGGACAAATATGGGGTGTTTCCAGATGAGGTATGGTACTTGATATGTTAAAATTTGTTGCAAGGTGGATAAACGTGAAGTGTTTCCAGATGAAGTATGGTACTTGATATGTGAAAGCATGTTGGTAACTGAACGAACATGTTTCGGAATGAAGTAAATTATGTCTACCTTTATATCGCATTTTGTTTTATAAATTAAAGTCTATAACACAGCGGACAAACGTGTTTTTGTTTTGTTCTTTTTAGGTTGAAAGAAAAATGAGTTGAGTTGTGTTCATCATTTACTGATGCTAAAGTATGTAGTGTATATGTATATATATACACAGTGGACAAAAATGTGGTGGTTCAGAATAAAAAATAAAAGGTGTTATTTTGTAATTTTAAATTTTATTTGGTATAGTGGACAAGCGTGCTGTGAATCTGAATGAAGATATGTTCATGGTTATCATGAAATCTGACAGTGTAACTCTGACGATGCTACTGTAAAAGACTGAATCAAGTAGGTATGGGCATTGTTTAAAGTAACCTAACTCCGTTTAAGTATGACATCCATGCTTGATAGAACTTTATACTTATGTTGGTTCTCCTGTTTGCAGGGTAAACAGATTGTTCTAACAGGACTGTTGACCTCCTCATCTGCTCAAAGGCTAGCCTTGTACGCCGGAGATGACAAACTATATTTGAATAATTGATCTATTGTTTTCTCCCACATGCAGGAGCACGAACCGCTGGCAAAGATTAATGATTTTAAACCGCTGACAAATTTTCCAGCTCTTAACTATTCCCACACCAAATATGATTCGCCATATGCATAACTAACGGTCTGACTGTCTTCTTGCACCATGCGTGTTTTCGTTTGTTGGAATAAAACAACCTGATTATAAAATTCTTGACATATCCAAAAATATTTTCATCTGTTACCCTCATACATCGGGATCACATTAATTTAACTCTTTTACAAACATATTCCAGAGCCATCAAAATTATTTGTTTACTTAGCAATTAAAAATAGATTATTAACATAAATCATACTTTTGCTTTCAATTTTAACAAGTTAAAAGTGTATTCAGGCAATTTTAAATTAAAACTAAACTAACGTATCTCAGTATTTGCCATAATGCTATATCGGTTTGTTTCCTTTCGTTCAAGGTTGTTTGGGTAACGAACGTGTTATGTTTAGTAGCAAGAGAAATTTTAGATCAAAAGATAAAGGTTGTAAAAAAATACTCACTTGTAAGAGATGTGATCCCAGTTCTTTGATGCCTCCTTCGCGAGGGTTATTTGGCGGGGTAACTGTACCCCAACCATCTCCCAGTCCTGAAATACAAATTTTGTAAGGATTATCCGTGCCCTAAGACACAAAGTGAACACTATATTCAAAGAAACTCGCGAGGTTTATTTTGAGAATTAGCCGTGTACCTTGACCAGCTTCTATTCCTTATTAAACACAACATTAACACAATACTAACAGGCATTCGAGAAAGTCATTGTAGGAATTAGCCGTACCTTAAAAGCATCCTAACACAAAACCAACTGATATATGGTCATGATGGTTATTATGAGGATTATCTATACTCTAATCTTCTGATTACTGAAAAATAGCATTAACGCTACTTTCACGTACTCGTGACAGTTACTGTAAAGAACAATCGTACTCTAATTACTCTTTAATCCCTAACGCGACATAAACACCGTACCCGCAAGAGGGTTATTGTAGGAGTTAATCGTACTCTAACCAACTACATTCTACTACTCCTAAAATAAAGCATTCATATTATATTTGCTATATCACTCGCGAGGGTTATTGTGAGGATTAACCATACCCAAAAACACAACACTAATGTCATACAGAGGGTTAAGTACGTTATATTTAACATAATGGATTCAGCCTTGCATTTGTTAATAATCATGAGGTTTTGTGAGAATTAACCATAACATAACTATCTTTGGGTCTTGAATAAACACTACATTCCCTCGTGAAGTTTGTTGAGAAGATTAACCATAACATAACTATCTGTTGGTCTTGAATCAACACTACATTCCCTCGTGAAGTTTGTTGGGAAGATTAACCATAACATAACTATCTGTTGGTCT